CCCCGGGGCTGCCACGGCGCCGGGCACAGCCCCGCGGGTCTCCGCGCCCCTTGCTCCGGGGCCGCGGCCTGGGACACGGCAGGGGGGCCCGAGGCTCCTCCATGCTGGCAGCCCCGGGGCTGCGGAGCCGGCTGGGTGGCTCCTGCCATGGCTGCGGAAGAGGAGGCTGCGGCAGGAGGTGAGGCTGCGGGCGGCGCGCCGGCGGAGACGGCTCCAGGTGGGCGCGGGGCTCCGGACGCGCAGGGGCCATTCCCGGCCCCTGCTGGGGGCGAGCGGCTGGCTCCGAGATGCCAGGTCTGCCCACCTGACTGTGGGATAAGGGCCCGCGCCGTCCCCTCGGGCGCCGCATCACCTTCCGGGACGAGGCCATCGTTTGGGGCACAGGTGTGGCGCGGCGCGGCGCCCGGCGCGTCCCCGGGGGCGCTGGACGCGGGGAGGGAAGCCCCGATGGCCGCTGGCTCCCGGGGCTGTGCGCAGCCGGCCGCCTTGGCCTCGGGGCGGAGGTTGTGGCAAAGGCGAGCGGGCAGGAGACCACCCACCCTGTGGTCAGCAGCCTCCGCCCGCCCCCGGCGCCCACCTCGGCGTCCGCAGGCGCCGCCGCGTGCACTTTTTAAATTTCTTCTTTCTTTTGTATAAATAAACCAGTTGACATCAGCTGTGGAGGACGCTCGGGTTTTTACTCCTGTGAATTGAAAACACAAGCTTCCATTCCCGGCCTCCAAAACCGCTCCGCCCTGGGGCGGGCAGGTGGGCACGTGGGGGCCGCTCCTTGGCGCTGGTCACACTCCAGAACCGCAGCCCTCCCTGCGCGACTGGGGCGAGTCTTGCAGCTACGGCGTCCTCAAAGCACGAGTGGAGTTCGCTTGGTTTATTTTATGTTTTTCAGGAATTGTTGTGAAGCGAGTTGGAAGTTTGGCTGCACCTTGTTCCTCTCACTAGTACTGACTGGTGATAGTCTGTGGTTTCTCAGTTGAGACCATTGGGACCACAATTCATATTATAGAATGATAATAAAATAGCTCTTACTTAAGACAAATAGGAGGCAGGGAAAAAACCCAAATACCTAAATGAGGACTGGCTGAGAAGTTTGGGGGAAACAATTGATTTCTTTTGAAATGTGGTAGTTTTAGATTCTCCTTTGAAATAAGGAGATGGCTTTCACAATTCTGATACAGCTGTGGACATTTAAATCCTGAGGAAATTTCAAAAATTCTATCATTTGAATATCTGTAGTCTTAGATAAACCTTTTGTTGGAAAGAGAAGATGGTGCGTGTATAGAGTGTTAAGTTCAGACACCTTCTCTGCTCAGGCTTGTGACTGAGCTCTACCCTTTACTGACTGTCACCTGGGTTATTTAAAATCTCTTTGCCTTAGTTTCCTCATCTGTAAAATGGGGTTAATGATAGCATCTGCCTTATAGGATTGTTAGGGTCAAAGGAGGTATAAATACATGGAAAATGCTTACCCCAGCACTTGGGAAAGAATAAGTGCTCCATAATGAATTTACAGTTCCAGTTTCCTTTGGGTGGAATGAATAAGTCATAGCCAGTCCATTATGAAAGCGTTGTCCCATGTGAATTGAAGTTGGCCAGCTGAAAGAATATGGGGAAAAGAATATTGGGCTTTCATGGGGAAAAAAGGGAGAAAATGGACACTTTAATTCAAAGAGCAGCTTTTCCCAAATAAGTTTTAGGGACTGATGACATTTTAGATGGTTTATTGCTATTTAGCTGAATACCTAATGTGAAGTTGGGAATTCACAGAATTAATTTTTCTTAGTTAAGGTTAGCAAAGTCTCTCTTGGGCATGGAGGAGCCAGTGTGTATTGAGGACATCCTATGTCCCAGGCATTCCACAAGAGGTGCCTTTGTTAGTCTTTGTGACGCAGGTGGTATTATCTCCATTTCACAGAAGAGAAAACTGAGGCTGGCCCGGTAACAGGACACAAGACTAGAGTAAAAGTCTATGGCTTTTTTTTTTTTTTGAGACAGTTTCATTTTGTCGCTCTCAGTAGAGTGCCGTGACATCCCAGCTCACAGCAACCTCAGACTCTTGGGCTTAAGCGATTTTCTTGCCTCAGTCTCCCAAGTAGTGGGGACTATAGGCACCCGCCACAACACTTGGGTATTTTTTTTTGCGGGGGAGGGGGAGGTTGTAGTTGTCATTGTTGGTTAGCAGGCCCGGCCTGGGTTCGAACCTGCCACCCTAGGTGTGTGTGGCGGGCGCCCTTGCCCACTGAGCTACAGGTGCCACCCAAGTCTGTGGCTCTTGGCTATGCTGCTCTCCTTTCTTTGCATCTGACCTGGTGATGCCATCGAACAAGTGCCCTCACTTCCAGACATACCTTTAAAGAGTGGTAAAAAAATAGATTTTACTTCTTTTCCCTAGTCCCAGAGGGAAAGCAAGGCCTAGGTAGCAGACTCCAGGGCCATGTGCTTCTCACGCATAATCTCTGTACATTCCTTTTGCTTGGGCAGTTTGCCATTAGGGCCCTCATGGTAAAAATGAAAATCTGAAACTGATGGTAATTGGAGGGGGAAAACCTTTAGAGCTGGTTTTGAAGGTAGTCACCAATAATTAGCTGCACGGAACATAACTGCCTGCTCTCTAACTTTTTTTTATAGGCTTATGGTAAACAGGGAGATTGCACATGCTGCCAAGTGACTGGGCGTCCTCCTGGTAAATGATTCCAGAATCCCTGGAGTTAGGGAGAGGAGGGGCTTGGGCAATCACATTTTTAAGACTGACTACCAGGGATGGTCTTTAGTCCCGGCATCTCTGGGGCAGCTTTCTCACTTTGCTTTTTCTTACATCCCAGTGTTTCCACCTGTGGCATTATCAGATCCAACTCTTGTAGGTGGAGTTCTGTAATTATCCTGGCTTAAATTGATTTTTGTGACTCAGAAATCAAGTCATGTCCCAATCAACTTTGCATAAGCTCTTGTTTCTGGCCTGGATCCTTAGGCAACATTTCAGCAAAAAATGCATTACTCAAGATAAATCAGGATGGGCTAATTTTCATATATTGAAGGAGAAGGAAAGGGAAAGAAAAAGAGAGAAGGGAAGGGAGGAGGGACAGAGGAGGGAAGAGAAGGAAAGAGAAAGTAAAGAAAGAAAAGAAAGGGAGAGAGTGAAGGCAGCTGGGAAGAAGAGAGGGGAGGGACTGCCACCTGTCACTGTTTGATTCTGGGAAAAACAAGAAATGAATGTTTCAAATCTATAGGGAAAACAAAAATATTAGTAAAGATAACACAGTGATTTCACTTTGCTTTTATTCCTGTTTCTAAAGAGCATGACGTCTTTCTGTGCACATTGATTATCGCAACCTTTGAAATCTCTCCCTTTATGGAATAGTCAGGAAATCATAAAATAGGCTAGTCGTGTTTCATTCTAGTAGCCCTAATTTCAGTTGTCCCATTTAGTTCACTTTTCCATGGTGACAGCTGAGTTACTTTGGTGCTTGGGACCTGGATCATTAGTTAATGTCAGCATTGTCATCTGCTCAGAAGGTTGCAGGTGCCTAGAGGAAGTGAGGGTCCCTGAGACACCTGCCTGTTTTGAGACAGTGATTTCCTGTCATAGTTTTTGCACTCGTGCTACCTGGAGTGTTCCCCCCACCCCCCCACCCCGCACTGGTCTCAACATCCCAGCACTGTGGAGCCCTCTGCCTTACCCCGTCCTTCTCCTTCCCAGTGGCAGGAGGCTGTGAGCTGGGACCAGAGGTGGAATGTGTTTTCTGTAGTAGCCTGTAATGTTTTTAGGTATTTCCTGATAATTTATGTAATAAAATGCTTAGCTATGCATGCTGCCGCACACCTGTTTTATTCTCTTACGTGGGTGCTGTGGCATTTACTGGTCCCTGATACACACTGTTTATATTGCGTTAGGCTGTGATACCTCATTTACCCACCCAACTTTTTAACTTAAAATATTTTTAAATGTCTCAAAATCAGTCCAATTTTACAGTATTAAAAAATTTTATCTGAAATATACTTAAATGTTGGTTGGCATGATACCAAATTTGCCATTTGTGTAAGTAAATTATTGGCATTTAGTTTCTCTACTCTTTAATCTTACGGTTTACATCTCTAGATAGTATCTTTATAGAGAGATTAAAAATAAAGACGGCTAAGGGAGAAGGAAATGTAAGAATCATTCTTCCACTCTTAGGCTTGCATTAAAGGATACTTAGCATTGAAGGTTAAGATTATTGCTATAAGACAATAACTTACCAGGCAGTCAGAATGTTTGACTTACAGTACTTCACGTGTTTTTTAAAGTAGATAAGAAATAAACTTTATCCCATTTTCCAAGCTTATGGCAGGGAGAGGAGAAAATCACCTCCTGGCTTTCTCTTCCAAAACACTGTCCCCCCTCGTATGTCCTGTGCTCCATGATATGCCTTTCTCTCCCCTTCTGCTTTCTCATCCACGGGTCTTTGCTCCAGCCATTGGCTGTTCCTGGACCATGCCTGCCCTCTGGATGGTCTGCGTGATCTTTACCTAACAGGCTTGAAGGCCAAGTACAGGTGTCATTTCTTTTGAATGTCTTGGAGGAGGTCTGTTATAAGAGTTTTTAAACATTGGGCGTGTGATTTCCAGTTTTACTATTTATCAGCTATGTGGCCTTGGCCAGATTATTTAACTTCTCTGAGCCTTCATTCTCTTATCTATAAAAGGAAGGTGAAAATACCTAACTTGGAGGGTTGTTGTGGGAGCTAAATGAGATAATAACTGCAAAGTGTTTGGTGGACACTGACCTTTAGCATCTGATGTTTCCTCTTTTCCTCATGAAACTTTCCTGGAACCTCCCCCTCCAAATTTAAATGATTCTTGTCTTGTCACAATGTAGTGTTTTTTTTTTTTACATTGGTTCCTGTTTGCCACAAGATTTTTTGTAGGTTTCTTAGCTCCACCCTTAAGTTGCACATTCTTAGGAGGGCACGGTCACTTCTTACTCATCTTTACAATCTCCAGTTCCTTGCACCTATTAAGTGCTTAATAAAGGTTTGTAGATTTTGAGTGGGTGATGATTTGTCTAAGGCGTGGAGAGTGTTAGTTCGTTCATAATGGATCCAATAAATACATACTTAACTATTATCTAAGCAAACGGATGTGGAGAGATGGACAAAGCCAGAGAAGGGGTTAAAGAGCTCATAAAATAGATTAGGCTGGGTGAGAAATGCAGCCAAAAGGTTTGTACTACAAGATGGAACA